TTATATTTATCAATTGATCCATCAGTCTTTAATTTTCTCCTGAAAATCCATTTACAACCTAATGGTTTGTTACCTGGTGGGAGATCTACCAGCTCCCATGTATGATTCTACATAATAGAATCAATTTCACTATTAATAGCCTCTTTCCAGAATGGAGCTTCTGGACTTGACATAACTTCATTGAATGTCCTAGGTTCATTTTCTAACAAATAAGTTAGAAAATCTTGACTAAAGGATGTAGCTGTTTTGGACCTTTTACTATGTTTTGGTTCTTCATGACTTTGATGATTATCAATTGTAGTATCATAAGTTCGTTTTTGTGAATTAATCTCTTTCCTATCCTTACAAGGAAAAATGTCCTCAAAAAATACACCATTCCTTGCTTCAATAATAGTATTTTCATATATGTTTGGAATGTCGGACTTATGTACGAGGAACCGATACACACTACTATTATTGGCATATCTAATGAATACGCAATCGATGGTTTTTGGTCCTATTTTAACTTGTTTAGGTTTTGGTACTTCCACCTTAACTAAACACCCCCATACTTTCAAGTATTTGTACAAAGGTTTATGACCTTTCCATAACTCATAAGGAGTTTTGTTCTTACCTTTGTGTGGTAATTTATTTAGAATGTGGTTGGCTGAGAGGATTGCTTCTCTCCACAAGTTCTTAGGTAAACCAGAATTGATTAACATCATCTCTTTAAGAGTACGATTTTTGCCTTCAACAATACCATTTGACTGTGGTGAATACAGTGCTGTAGTTTGATGAATAATCCTAGAAACTGAACAAAATTCTTCAAACGGTGCCCCATATTCTCCACCTCTGTCACTACAAACAACTTTTATTCATTTGCTAAGTTGATTTTCAACCTCATTCTTGTATTGTTTAAATACTTCTAAGGCCTGATCTTTGCTTCTTAGCAAATATACATAACAGTACCTAGTGCAGTCATCTATAAAAGTAATAAAATACTTTTTCCTCCTCTAGTTTGTATGAACTTTAAGTCACAGATATCACTGTGAATGAGTTCTAGAGGATTTGAGTTCCTTTCCACTGAATGAAACGATTTTTTAGCTAATTTAGCCTATACACAAGTTTCGCATCGATGATATTGATGAAATGAAATTGAAGGCAATAGATTTAAACTTACTAATCTACGTAAAGTTTTAATATTAACATGTCCTAATCTATCATGCCATAAGTTAGAGGACTCAATCAAGTAAGCAGAAGATTTATTTTTATTAATATCAAAATCACGAAGTACAGGCATTACATTCATTTTGAATAGCCCATTGGCTAAGTAACCCTTGCCCACAAACATCCCACTTTTGGTAAGTATAAACTTATCAAACTCAAATACTAGCCTAAACCCATTTTTGCTTAACAAAGCTCCAAATACCAAGTTTTTGCGAATATTAGGAACATGCAACACATCGATGAGAGTTACTTCTTTTCCTGATGTCATCTTCAACACTACTTTACCTAGGCCAACAATTTTGGATGTTGCCGAGTTTCCCATAAATAATTGTCGTCCATTGATAGGAGTGTAAGATGAAAACATTTCCTTATCGGCACAAACATGTCGAGTAGCGCCTGTGTCTATGAACCATTCTCTTGGATTGTCCACCATGTTTGCTTCAAATACAATAGCTGAGAGCATTAGTTTAGACACGTCGTTAGACAATTTGTCTTCCTCAGTCAAGTGTACTTGGTCCTTTTTGCTTTGCTTTTTCTGTCGACAATCCTTTGTGATGTGACTAGGCTTACCGCAGGTATAACAATCTCTTTTAAATTTCTTAGCCTTGTTTTTTTGCTTGCCATTGCCTAAGTGTTTTCTTTTCTTGCTAGTATTTGACTCCACCAAATTGGTTTTAGCCTCCATATGTAGCTTTCCTGTCTTCTTCTCAGAATTTCGATTATGTTCCTCAATTCTTAATCTTACAATCAGATCTTCAAGTCCCATTTCCTTACGTTTATGTTTCAGGTAGTTCTTAAAATCTTTCCACATTGGAGGTAATTTCTCGATAATAGCGACGACCTGAAATGACTCACTAAGCTTCATACCTTCTGCATGTATATCATGCAAGCTGATTTACAGCTCTTGGACTTGATTTATCACTGTTTTAGAATCTATCATCTTGAAATATAGGAATTTGCCCACAACGAATTTCTTTAATCCAGCATCTTCCGTTTTGTACTTCTTTTCCAATGATTTCCACAGTAACTTAGCTGTCTTGACTGAACTGTATATGCTGTATAGTGTGTTGTCAAGACAATTGAGGATGTAGTTCCTACACAAGAAGTCACTATGACTCCATGCATCAAATGCTGCTTATTTTTGAGAATCTGTTTCTTCCCATCAACAGGTGGAGCATCTTCACTCAAGAATTTTGTTAAATTTAGAGTTGTGAGATAAAACAGCATTTTCTGTTGCCATCTTTTAAAATCCACTCCTGTAAATTTTTCTGGTTTATCCCCATGAGCATTGTTTGGGGGTAGGACGAATGTGTTGTTACTTGCCATAGTCTAATAAAATTTCAGAATATAAATTAGCATGTAAATAAAAAAAATCGTCTTAAGATTGTTGAAAATCTTTGAGAATGTCGTACGGTAATTTACAAAAGTAAATAGCGAATAATTATTCAGGCAGAATTTCGACTTACAAAATTAGCGAATAAATCAGAATGAATAATGGTCGAGGCAAGAGTTCGACTCTTTCTCCTTAAGGCGAAAATGTCCCACACTGGTGCTGACAGTCTCCTGGCACTCATCTCCCAAGATACAATGACCTCGACTTGTAATAGTAGCACTCCAAATTGCAAGACTCGACGAACCTACTAATATTTGATCTCTCGAGAATCGGAGGACTAAAATGCACGAAAATAGTATTTGGGACTGAAATATAAATATATGGAAACTGCAGGACAGAAAGACAATATTGTAGGAGAAGGGAAGTAGAATAAATTTTTGGAGTGAATAAAAATCGGGGATCTGGGGTCTATTTATAGAAGTTGAAAGGTTGTGCCCAAAAGACACAACAATCGAAAGGTTGTGTCTCGGAACAAACATAACCCATTTGGACTGGCAGTAAAATTGTCACTAACCTCCAGCTTCTAGAAGAATCCACGTGTCTCGCATAGAAATTTCGAGGAAGAAAAAATAAAATATATATACCAACAGGGCCAAGCCCACGACTCGGACCCGAGCTCGTGCCGACCCGAGCTGGTCGATCGGACGGACGGCAGCAGAGGTGCACATGTGGGCTTTAGTTGAACCTACTAGCATATAGGTCCTCTCCCCTCTAAAGACTAGTGGTACCCCTTGGGATCCAAACACAAGTCCTTAACTTGAGTTATATAAAGTAGTTTTTATTCTTCTAGTTTTCCTATGTGGGATTGACACTTTCCAATTCTTTATCAATTTTTATTCTCAATTTATTTCAATTTCAAGTGGTCATCTTTTAACTTTAATTTCTCATTCACTTTTAATTAGTTTTGAGAAATAAATACATATATCAATTCTACACATGGAGCAGAATGCACTTGGCCAAATAAATCATTTATCCAGCTAACGGGACCCACTTAAATAATTGGTGAAACCAACTAATTATTCCAAATTTTCAACACAGAGAACCGTGGAGGTTTCTTATTGGTCAAATGGCCTTGCATTTTGTCATAGAGAACAGATGGTAGCTTACTTAAGCAATACTGGAACCAATCTATGGGAGTAGGTGAATGCCATTAATATTCACGAGACTGAGACTCTCGACAACTCATATACTAAGACAGCGATTCAAGATGAGGCATATGTAACTCCAATTTGGTTTCCTCATAGGCTTCAAAAATACATTATAACTACTAGAAGAGGAGTTTAGTTGACAGAAATTCATGTCAACATGCCGATTTCACAAGGAAAACAAGGGCATTAGATAAAGATCAAACTAAACAATTTGGACCTGCAAATGCAATTGATGAAGATAAAGAGAAGAGTTTAGGAAATTCAGAGGCAAAGGCAACGTTGGCTCAAATCCCCACTATAGCCCCTGTTTGATGGCCATTATTTGGGAAAAATAATGTTTTGAATAGTGACTTTTAGGTTAATGTGTGGTTAAAGAATAAGAAATTTTTTCGAGTTTACATGTATAATATTTTATGTTGTGTATGTGTGATTGAAAATGAGTATATAGAAAAAAGAGTTTGAAAAAGATAGTTGTCTTTATGAAGGAGATATTGTTCAAGGGAAGCTTGATGAATACGATAAAGTGGCTTTAACAGAACAATGTGGTGATATTTTGCTCAATAAGCTGCCTCCAAAGTTAAAAATAATTGAATTTTTTTGTATTTTTTATGTATAATGTGATATAGGTACAAGTGTTAATTTGATATCCTTCTTGTCTACAGGAAACTTGATTTTGGAAGAGTAAAGTCTCTGCAACTTGTTAATGCATCCATCGAGCGTCCATGATACATGATCGAGGATGTGCTCAATAAGAAAGATAAATTTATATTTCCTGTAGAATTTATTATATTGATTATGAGGAATATCAGATAATGTAAGTGATTTTGGGTCGATCTCAATCGTAAGTGCAACTTTTGACTTATATGATTCAAAAATAATTGCAAAAAAAATGGCTCCCTTCTACTTTGTACTCAGTATAGCTCTACCGTGCTAAGTGGAAGGTTTATTAATCAACAGATAAAAGTCCCTCTAGAAATAACACGTGGATCTTCTCCCGAGAGCTCTTGAAAGTGGTAAACTCATCTTGAAGGTGCAAGATAAGTATATATATCACGTATGGGTAACCTTTTGACCTCGATGGATTTTTTTTGACATTCCTATTTGAGTACCATGTTTGGGAATACTAAAACATAAATCAAATTCATTTCTAACAATAAAAATGTTTCATAAGTGACGTAAAGTAAGACGAGCACAGACAAATAGGATGAATATGAACCACGAAGCCGTCCAAAATCAGAATCTGAAACCGTGACTTTTCGAATCTGATACTGTTTTACACTACGCATTCTCGTTATCGAGTTTCAAAAGAAGTCATCTATTTCGGTCCAGCATTTTCTCAAACATCTGCCCGAATATACAGTGATTGACCTTGAGTTTTCTTCAATGCATTGAAGAGAAGATGCGGGCAACAGTTGCATCCAGATGTTTGAAGATTCTGAATAATTCCATTCCCCCTCGCTGTTTGAATCGTGTTTCACGCGGGTTAATTCGCTAACAATTAAAGAGGATCAGACGATTGTGTAAGGGACGAAACCTCTTGAGACAAAGTCCCAAAAAGGGGTGTTCTTTTTATTGGCGATGAACTTTACAATTGGAAACGGAAAACAACGTGCCTCCAAGGGGCGCAAGCACACGAGTTACAGAAAAGGAAATGTTTAAATCTAAAAGCTAAAGGAATGAAAATTACATATTCTCTGTTCGAGAGTTTTGGATTCGGTCTTTTGCTTCTAAGTTCTTTCTCCCTTTTATACTTCATAGGCGATCCCTTTGTGATTAACTGCTCTAAAAAACTGCTTGATCGCCCTATAACTACCCACTTTCTTTGTAGTGGCCATTTTGTCATGCAACTGTCCTTTTAACTGCTGCCATTATCTTGCATCGTTCAACCGCTTTCGATTGAACCCCTTGAGTCGTCGAACGTGATAAAGTTACTTTAGCAATTGCCTCAATAACTGCATCATAATGCGTTATGTTTGTTGATATCTTGGGCGACTTGAAGATTTGGGCGAGACTTTGGATGACCGTATGCCACTCTATTCGTTCAGACTCTGAGCGACTTGCAAACTTGGACGATGGCGTTACCGCACTATTGGGCCCCTTATTTGGGCATTCACCTTGATTCGTTCAATTGG